CCATGCCGCAGTGAAGCATGAATACCCCTCTCAGACACATTATACTGACTCCGAGCCGACCAGTACTTGTTGTACCCATTAATGCCGAGCGCCAGACAGGGACCAACAAGTACCATATTTTAACGTCTTTTGGTATGACGCGGTCGGCGGGGATCGAACCCGTGACCTTCCGCTTTCCGGGCGGACGCTCTAACCACTACACCACGGAGGCGGTCGTTAATACTATGTTAATATATTATGTCTAATTTATGAATAGTAAGGAATGAGAATAATAATTCCATGTTAGCATAAACAAAGACGTATAAGCATTGTGTAATACCTCACAATCAGAAACAAAAATGGTAAATTCTGGTGGCAGGATTCGGTTCTAGTTCCTGCTTGCCGTTAGGCTGAACAAATTGGATCATATGTCCATGGTGCTTACCCTGGCATGGGCCTAAGATGGTATATTTGTTGACATCGCAAAATGAATTCGACGAAAGAATTGAGGGTGAGCTCTGACTGAAGGATGCGTATTTTTGCCAGACCTACATGCATAACTTGTCACACTATTTACGACGAACACTTGCAACGTAGCTTTGTCAAACTAAAGACAAAGGTATAACATCTGTATCTAATGTCCATCAATCAATCACCAGTGTTTGTCATCAGGAATTCGTAATGTAGATCCCAAATTCCCAACTACTTGTGATAAAAGAGAGGCATTCTAGAACTGCTTAAATAGGCGTAAATATTAATTATCAGCAAGCGAGCTGAACACTTCCTGGTTCTTTGTTTCGGTTATGATGAATGTTGTTTTGTTGAAGGATAATAAACTGAAACGTACTGGTATTGTTTCAGCAAAATATATTTAGTAAATGGTGTATGAAAACCAGCTTCTCCAGCCCCCACATTCCACTCTAACAGACGACACAACACATTGTATCAACACAGGGCTCGCTGTGCGCTACAAGGCCGAGATTTATTACATTAACCATCATCATCATCATCATCATCCCATCATAGTTTACCCGTAAGATACTTATTTACACAATATGCAATGTATACTACGAAAATATTAACAAGTCACAGTTACACAATGCTGAAGCCCGACACGTAAAACCAGAGATATACTTTTAAAGAAAAACTCAGGAACCGTGTTCCCTCAACGATGCAGCAGCACAGGACTGGACGGTTTACAGCAACTGAGTAAAGCACAAATATCTACGCATGTCAAATTAATGTATAAATACATACAAATATCTGTATTGGAATAATATCTTTTTTGCTTTTTTAACCCACATTAACTACAATCTCAACCTCCATCCATCGTTATTATACCGGTATTATAGCGGCTCTTCAGCCCAGATTACACGAGTCGTTCAACCTCAACATAGTATTATAACGGCTCTTCAGCCCGGAATACAACTGAGTTACATTCAGTCTCAGCACAGTATCACAGCGGCTTTTCAGCCCTGAAAACACGTGATATAACGGCTCATATCCCCAACTTGGACGTGCCATCCATTCATTATCAATACGGTATTATAATGGCTCCTCAGCCAAAATTCCACATTTATTTCATTCAATCTCAACATATCATAACAGCTCTTCAGCTCTTAGCAGGCACAAACACATAAATTGCATGCATGCAGTATTATAACGGCTCTTCAGCACCGTATGTATACTTCTTGTCAAGATTCTAGTCACACATATATACAATGTAGCGGACTCCAAGTATTCTCATGGCTCTTCAGCCAGCAGGAAACATACCCCTGAAACACAGAATATTATATTATTCACACGTATATATAAATCTTACAGATTTATAAAAGTTTTAAGTTAAAAAATCAACTGACCGTAGCTGCACGTGATGCGAGAATGACGTTCACGGCTTACACTACCTTTATATACCCTTATTGCAACGCCACCTATGAACATGCACACCTCCCCTGTCCAGGTGAGGTGAGGTGAGGCGAGGTGAAATTAGGTTTAACGTCGTGCTTGAGAATATGTCGCTCATATGACGACGTGCATGCTTGTGTACGGGTATGTGCGGCTGCTTGTACTAGCCCAGACTGAAGCTGGTTTTATAGTGCTAGCCCACTAAGATACCATGCCGCAGTGAAGCATGAATACCCCACTCAGACACATTATACTGGCTCCGAGCCGACCAGTACTTGTTGTACCCATTAATGCCGAGCGCCAGGCAGGGACCAACAAGTACCAAATTTTAACGTCTTTTAGTATGACGCGGTCGGGGATCGAACCCGCGACCTTCCGCTCTCCGGGCGGACGCTCTAACCACTACACCACGGAGGCGGTCCCCCTGTCCAGAGTTACATACCCTGGAGTTAGCAATTTCCGTATCATTTATCCTTCAACCGAAGGAAATATCATCACATCAGTGTCGCATGTTAAATATTATACTGACGCTTCACTCATATCGAGGGCAAAAGGCATCAGAAGGAGTTACCTCCCCGACAGGGTCGATGTGTATCGTCAGCGGGAATATACATGTCGGCATGATATTGCTCTTCGTTTCTTATTTACTGGAGTTATTAACCACCATATACACCCCATCCCACCCCGGACGAACTTGTATCTCAAAGCCCAAGGAACACTACAACCAGTAAATGTTAAGGGTGGTTAGATATGCTGCAAAAGTTCTGAAAAATTCTTTGTCTTTTACTACTTTCATTGATAAAAGCGACAACGGAAACAATTCTTGGTGTTTTAATACGTGATAAATAAAAGCGACAACAAACACGCATTTTTAACATCGGTGGAGAACAACAATCGGGTAGAGTTGGGCTGGTCATCAACCATAATCAACCATCTTATTTCTTTCAGTGTGACTGGGAGTCAGCGCCGTGTGGACAAGAAGACTTTGTTTACCTGGAAACTGATATGGGGAAATGTTTCACTTATAACGGTAATTGATATTGTCATTGAGACATCCAGTCCTGCGACTCAGTAGTGAGTAGTTAGTTTAGGTCTCAATCAACTGGAACAGAATGTTTGGGACGCCGTGGCGTCTAATGGACTCACCAGTGTAGAAACTGGGAGCTTTAACGGCTGCATTGTGTTGGGTATGGCAGCAATTATATCTTAACCGTACCTTGGGACAACAAAATACGCATGATGTATAAATGCAGTATCCATAGTCTAAAGGTAATGCTTCGTGGTGTACTGACATACCCAAGGAATATATACAGACCCATCTTCTCCTTAAAATGTTCATTAAAATGAAAGCATAGGTACACGTTAAACGTGAATCTTCTATGGAGAAGCAGATTGTGTTTCCCAGACACAATGTATTTGTACCGTATATTGGTTACATCTACTTGGGTTGTCAGTCCAGATTTGAGAGAGGTCATTATGCGACGATGTCGCATTGGCCATACGTGTTACTCATAATTACCTGTTAAAAGGTGAAGATCCTCCGTTTTGTATCCATTGTGATAAGAGAACCACGGTCAAGCATGTCCTGCTTGACTGTGTTGAATTCTCCATCATAAAGGGATAAATATTTCAATGTAAAAACAGTCAAGGATCTTTTTACAAATGTTAATTTTCATTTAATTATTGGTTTTAAAGAGACTGATTTATTTGATGAATTCTGATTAATGTGTTTTGTAAATAGCTATATTTTAAAGATTGGTAGTTTAGATTAGTAACTTAGATTGTTAGTGACTGTACCCTGAAAGGGGGTTAAAGTATTGTACAATTATTGTCCTGAGAGGGTACGTAAGTCCCAAAACTTTCAAAGTAAAAAATAAATTTACCACATTTTAAACGTAGTATTTTTGTTATTTTAACTGTTGGCTAACATTTCTTACAATCGCCAGCGGCTGAAGGGATGGTGTAAAACCAGCTAGGGTCCATTCAGGTAGCAAAAGTAATGTAAGTCCCCATGTTCCCTGTATGGTGATCTACCTTCAGTTGTTGGCGATCTATAGCCTGTTTTTTATTGTATTGTCCAAATAGTGCTATTAGTTTTAACTTTCCACTCTAGTTTTAATTCTACTTGTGATATTCTAGTTGATTTACTGTCCTTCGACGACAGGTTTTTATACTATACACATATTCCAGTTCAATGTCAAATATGCTCTCGTCACGATATGGCTGAAGTATTGCCGATGTGACGATAAATATTAACTCACTCACTCACTTATTTGTGATAACCAATTGGCTTTAAAAGATCATCATTGACGAAAAAACACATTTATTGAAAATTGGTTGGCTACCTTCTATTAAAATGAATTACAATCCATCCTGGTATCCTCAGCCGTGATATTGCGTGAATATTGCTAAATTCGGCGTAAAACCATACTCACTCACTCTGCCCAACTGGATTAGCAGATCACAGGATGGAGCGCAGAGGCACGCTTTCTTAAAAGTTCACAGTCGGTAATTAGAAAATTACAATCATGACATTAACCGACAAATAACGTTGATTACAGACGTCGTTCTGGTCGACCAAGAGCGAACAACTGGTATACATGTACATGTACACGACTGTTTCATCAGAAGAACTATGAAATAAAACCTCCTCTCAAACTGAAGATGATCTTCCCAGACAGGATAGGTGGTTTGCATGTCCAACGTCCAAGATTGACGGACCGTCACATTACTGCTAAAGGTGGATGGTGTCACAAGATATAAGATAGACCTATAGATGGTTATAATATACTGAACAGCAAAAGAAACGCAAGTTTCGAAAAAATGAAATCTCATGAAGGTAAGTGTTCATGTTTATGGAACGTTCATGGTAAATGATCCCAAATGAGATGACGTCATGCAATGTGACGTCCATACGACCCATTCGCACAAAACACAACAACAGTGCAGCAAAACTACAATTTTAGCACGTGCATCGACGGTTCTGGATGGAAGGCATGCATTTCAATTTGAGGTATCCCTTATAAAGGTTTATGTCAAAAAACAGTTCAGTATTGACGATAGGAGGTGTACACGCCACACAAACAATGCCTAGACTAACGACCGAGCAGAGGGGAATGGCTATTGGAAAGTTGCACACAGGTAGCTCTGCAACCACTGTAGCTAGACAATTGGGCTGTCATCTTACCACCATTACACAACTTGCTCAACGTCATCAGCAAACCAGGGTTGCTGCTGATCGTCCCCGTACCGAACGGCAACGAGTGACAACTCATGCGCAAGATCGGTTCATCCGGGTCACTCATCTAAGGAACCGAACTCAAGCAGCAACAGTAACAGCAGCCTTAGTTCAAGGGTCAATGGGAGCAGTGCCAAGCGATACGATTAGGCGTCGTCTTCGGGCTGCTGGAATCCACTGCCGAAGGCCATATGTGGGGCCAATTTGGGCACGTCAACAACGCCTCCGACGTTTGCAGCCCTAATACAGCAAGGGTGTCGATGGATTATCTGGCTCAGAACAACATAAACGTTTTTCCATGGCAGTCTCTTTCCCCGGATATGGCTCCCATCGAACATTCTGGGACGAAATTGGACGGAGGAATGCTGCAGCCACTCACACTTGCACAATTGGAATAGAGATTGGTGTTTGAGCGGAACCAATTGCCTCAGGCATTCTTTCAGACTGTAGTGAACTCAATGAGGCCACATTGCACGGACTGTGTGCAAGCTCAAGGTGGCTATACGCGCTACTAAAGAGACTGTCACTTTTCGCGTTCAGGGGTATCTCCATTTGACGGACTGAGATCAGTTTGAACTTATTGCAATTCAATGTCAACAGCAACTTTTAGCTGTTAAATTGACAGTGTTTTCTATAGAATAAATGATTAGACATAATTTTGGTTGTCTTCTATTCAAAACTTGACAAAAAGCCAGACTTGCGTTTCTTTTGCTGTTCAGTATATTATGAAAACCTTTTGCAGATGCTAAATGCTTTCAAATGACATTATGTTTACTTTTTACAAAATGCACATACATGCTCTTTGCTTCAGACAATGGTTCTCTGCTTGCTCGTAATTCCGGACGTGCCCATGGTCTGCGCCTCTTGCTTAATGTCCAGGAAGAGGAATATTCTCGGAGTCATGATAAATACTTTGGAACAGGGTTTATGGTGAGTGTCAATGAGTGTCAATGGTGAGTATCCAACTTTTGAATAATGATTATATATAAAGGACCCGATTAACTGGATCTATTACCCACCCGCCCCTCACAGACACCACCCACGTCAATCCCCAGAAGCAATTACCATTATTCCAGGTTGTAGTACCCTCCCTACTACTAGTGCACATGCGACGACCAGGACACCAAAAATACATCCTTGATCTGGGACTGGCTGCAGCACAATCCTTTGTCTGTGGATTGATGCTCAGGATAAGAACATATTATTATGAATTTGCTCAGATCCACAGAGGCACATATCAACATTGTCTGTAAGCAGGCGATGTCAAAACAGGGAAACTGCTGCCACAACATACAGTTATTGACAAATTTATTCATGAGGGTTATGCCCATGTATGATCATGATATTTCTAGTGGTAATTTATATTTGTTCTGACCTGAAGGTGGCTGTTCACGCTCCGGAGGTGATCCCAATCATGTCTGAGATGGGCATGGCAGTAGCTCCCGGATTCCAGCACTTAGTAGATATAGGAGTGAAGGTCAGTTTCATACTGTGTCGATAACAGAGATGATTAATTTCAAATCTAAAAACAACAGTCGTAAAGTGAGGTATTTGTTAGTAGTAAATCGCACCTAACGTACACTTCGGGTATAGTTTCATCTAACTTTGGTTGCTAGCGACCAGGAGCCGATTGTGCAATGGGTTGTTAATTGACAGGTCAGTACATCACACACTGACTCACACGTTCACTTCCGAGTGGAATAGGATAGCATCATTCCGAGGCATCCGAGTGAACTCTTGCCAAACTAAGCTGGAATTATGGAGTAATAATTTTGTCGGGGCAAAGAGACTATGCTCAGTCTAATTAAACGCAGCACCCGGTTCTTTAACAACATGGCGAATGTCGTAGAGATTTATGTGGATTGGAAAATTGTGGACCGTGTGCTGTCAACTGCGCTATGACAGAAATTCCCAGTTTTTCTTGTTTTTAATTAATTTACTCAAATTACTTGATGCACTTCGCGACCAAATTCTGACATATGGTGGTGTATTTCAGAAAAAGTAATATAGGCCATAGGCCCAGGTTACACTTTGAGAATTACAGAGTGAGAAAATATGTTATAATGAAGACTGTCTCAGTAACATAGCTTGATATATATATGCTGATAAATGTTTTAAGATGCTTGCATTTGATGATTGCAGAAGCGTATTAAATTTTTGGATTGTTGGATATTCATAAAACTGTAAAGGGATATACAGTCGCCGCAATGCTTGATATTTATTACAAATAAGTAAAAAGTGATATTCATCTTCTATATATGGAATTTTACAGATATTAAATAATCTGTCATTTCTACCCTCACCAATATACCTGCCAGTTTCTATTCGTAGTTTATGAGACCCCGATCTAAACTGAGCAAGCGCACGTCTATGTTTAAAATAGCTAACTATGAAGATATAAGATTCAACACCGAACATAGGTTTAAACAACATGTATCCAAATGTTTTTGTGCCTTTTATTAGTGCAGAATGCCAGTCCTGTTGATACGAAACTTTGAGTCTACCAAGAAATTCATTCAAAAAAAGCGTTTCACTTCGAACCATCTGTTCTTGCCAAACAAATCCAAATCCATAGACTTCTAATATATGCTTTATCCTAGATGCCCAGCTCCTGCAACCATTACTTTCCATTTGTACAAGCATGTTATAACATTTCTTTACATATCGCTCATTTGACATTTTCAATAATTTACACCAATATTTGATAGACCTTTTGATGGTATAAATATACAATGGATATCTTCCACATTCGCCTCGCACAACATGCGCTGAATCAGAGGATTGAATTCCTAGAAATCGTTTACAAGCTGCTACATGTATAACTTCTATTTCGTTAACAACATTCAGTCCCCATATTTCTGCACCGTATAATACAATTGGACAAACTTTGGTGTCGAAAATCTTAAAGAACAAGTGAAAAGGTAATGGCTTAAACATTGACAGTGATCTAAAAATACCAAATACAACTTGCTTAGCCTGCAGACATACATTTTCTATGTGTTTGGTCCATACTAATGACCTACTTAATAAAATACCTAGATATTTGTACCAGGAAACACATTCTATTTGTACACCATTATAGAACCATTTTTCATACTTCGACAGTCTTCCACCTTTTTAAAAAAATGTTACCTTTGTTTTTTCCATATTTAGCGTCAAACAATTCTCAGAACAAAATATCTTTAGGACATCAAGTCTTTTCTGTAAACCAAACACTGTATCAGAGATAAACACAACATCATCAGCAAATAAAAGAAGAAATAACTGTACAAGTTCAGGATGAAGCTGAATTCCTGGTACGCAACATGCTTCGATTTTATAAACTAGTTCATTGATAAGAATGGAAAAAAGAAGAGGGCTTAGGATACACCCTTGTCGTAGACCCAATGGACAATCAAAACATGTTGATAAATTATTATTACATTTGACACACGCTTTAACACTTGCATAGAGGGCTTGAATTGATTTAAGCATTTTGCTGCTTACTCCTCTTAGCCTTAAAATATTCCACAGTTTTGTCCTATTCACGAAGTCGAAGGCTTTGGAAAAGTCTATGAAACATGCATGCACTTTACCTCTCTTTTTTGAGAGATAGCGTTCAATAACGGACTGTAGGATAAAACTGTTATCAATAGTACTGTAACCTTTGCGAAAACCCGCTTGCGATTCAACGATTTTTCCATAGCAAGAGCACCAAAATGTTAGTCTATTATTCAGAATGTGTATGTACAGTTTGCTGAAGATACTTGTAATTGATATACCTCTGTAATTGTTAACTACACTAGTGTCCCCTTTTTATGTATAGGTACAATAAGACCCATACACCACGATTGTGGAAAATACGCTCGATCAAACAGAGCATTGAATAGCAACTGAATATAGGGAACTAAAATATCCTGTGAGGACTTAAAAAATTCTGCTACCCAACACTCTTGGATGATTATAGTTCTGTAATCGCTGCACAGATCTCATCTCTTGTAATAGGAGCGTCAAGTATACTAGGGCTGTCTTGATCTATCTTCTCTTCAATATCATGATCGATAGATCGTAAATCGACATTAAATGTATCCATATGTTGGAATATGTTTTTGAAATGTGTATACCACGAGTCCATTGTTAGGTTGGGAATAGAATTCTTAGATGAAGAAAGCCTGCACATGGTGTTCCAGAACAATTTTGAGTTATTCAGATTTGTAAGTAATTTATCTTTTACAGATCCGTAGTACTTTCTTTTTTTAGATCTTAAAGTGCAATTGTACTTGTTTCCGGCATGTACATACTAGCGAGCGCTCCATCGTTAAAATGCCTAAAACACTCCAGAAGTCTGTCTTTCTCATGTCTTAGAAATGTGCACTCTTTGTCAAACAAAGTTTGTTAATTTCGTCTATTTATGCCATGTTTGCGTTTCATATACTGTGCAGCTTGACATATTGCATTTGTAAGAAATGTTACTGCGTTGTTAATATCTGAAAGAACGTCATCACAAAAGCTTTCAAGCAATCTAGATATATCAGGTGAAAGTAAATTCTCCCTGGATTGGCCGACCTTGTCCACATCCCACTTAAATCTAAACTTCGCACTCTCGCCACGTGCATCCTGTGTTACGTTACCATCCTCGCGTAGAGTGGCGTGTATTCCACGTGACTGAAACGTACATCGTACAGGTAGATGATCAGACTCAGACCTCGTAACGGCATCGAATTCGTCACACAATGTGAATAAAGAACTTGAAGTGATAATAAAGTCAATGACACTTGTACCCACTTCTGAAACAAAAGTATATTCACCAACACCTGCATCTGAACCACATCTTCCATTCATGATAATGAGATTGAAGTAAATACAGAACTGTAGCAATGAACGCCCGTATTTGTTTATCACCATGTCACGCGAATGACGTGATATATTACGGGTATCGTGTATATATGAGCAATGGTCTAAACCAACATGACTCGAAATATCATGTAAAGTGTAATCCAACTCTATACCTGTTCTTGCATTAAAATCCCCACCTAGTAGTACATCTACATTGCCAAGCTCTTGAATTATGTCAAGTAACGATTCTTGTAAAATACGTATACCGCACTCAGTGGGCTTGTTGTTATACCATGGATAACTTTCTGGGTGTATGTACACACAAGCCATAAGTATATCCTTATTTGTAGAGAGCATAGACTTGTCAAACACAATAAAACTTGCATTCTCAGTACATTTGTGTAACTTAATGAACTTCTGTATACTCCTTCTAACTAACACTAGAATGCCGCCTGATAGTCTTCCTGCATTGGATAGTTTCACTGCTGGAACACTATAACGCACATTCTCAATAATTTACTCAAATTACTTGATGCACTTCGCGACCAAATTCTGACATATAACGATAAAGATCTGATTGCTGATTTATCATTTTTTGTTATGGCAGAAGTTCAAAATAGTCAGTTATCTTCCTTGCTTTGGAATCATCCGATGTAAAACTGAGAAATGTGAAAACCACTGCACAACTCATATTTTGCACATGCATTTGTAACACAATTCTCCTTTTGATAATAACTAGAATTCACAAGAATAATAGATTTCAGAACATGAATCTTGTGATGATGATATTTCTGTGTTATGACAGGTGGTGACAGCACACGAGGGCATAGCCGGCTGTGGGGACAGATTCCTGAAGTATATCACTGGAAACTATTCCCGGGAGGCATGCAAGATGGAGTGTGAGATGGACTTCCTCTTGAACATGTGTAACTGTAGGGATTTTGCAAATCCAAGGGAAGATTTTGCATTTTGTACCCTGCAACAGTACAGCGAATGTTATATCCCAGGTAGAGCCAAATATCGTCAGACAGACTCTAGCTGTGAAGCTGGATGTCCTGAGCCATGCAGCTACACCAGGTTCACCACCCAACACTCCAGCTCTCCACTGACCAGGAACTACATTGCTGCGTACACCAAGGCCAAGGGTAAGACTGAAGAGTACTGGCGGAGGAATCTGGTTATTCTGGAGATGTATCTGAGCTCTATGACCTACGAACACATGGAAAAACAGGTGGGGTATGGGATCCTAGACCTGTTCTGTGACATCGGTGGAGCACTGGGTCTGTTGCTTGGTGCCAGCCTGCTGACAGTGTTAGAAGTGTTTGACTTCTTATGTATCACTGTCTTCTCGGTGGTGTTTGAAAAGAACAAAGTTCATCAGATTAACAGAGAGGGCAACTCCAAATAAACCATTGGTAATGTAAATGAACAATAACATACATTTGAGAGCAACAATTGAGAACGTCAGTCATAATAGCATTCGTTCTGAAAAGATTAAGCATGTCTCTGCCTTACTGGTAGCACATGCCATTCACACAATGTATGTAGAAGTAAGCCCCTTTACCTAAAGCTGCACTTCAGTACACCTGCCATACAGGTCATTTATATATTGTTGTGTTCCTGTCCTAGCGGGAACACGTGTATACTGAGTATTAAATACCTGTAACTGTATTCTTTGTTCTGTGTCAGTTATGATGTTTACAATGTTTGTCAATAGATACACACCACCATCATTTACAAGATACATAATGAGTTATGTTCAAAGGAAAACACTTCATCATGATGTAGAGTTAACTAAATCACTGACGTGATATTTGGACAACGCTCGTTTTATTAGTAATTCAGATAACTGACAACATCAACATATTCCCCTGAAAACAAAACGAATACTTTAAGTTTAGCGGCATCACTGTCTGGAAATTGCTGTATGGCATTGTTGTAAACTATTTTGACATAACAAAACATTCACTTTACTATTAACGTAACGATGTCGTGAATTCAAACTACATTACATTTACTAAGTGGTAAATATTCATAAACCAGTCTAATCGTGATTTCTTTGCAAACATGTTCCGTAACACTCACAATGATCTAATGCCACCACGATTAATGTCTGTCGGGTGAAAATCAAGCGACAAATGATGTTTTCGTCATGAATACAAATAACAGAGCCCAATAACAGAGTTCTCTTAACATACGTTTCCGAATGTTGGATTAAGTTCACATCCCAATTAGGACCTGATTCTTCAGCATCATGTGATCTACACTTACAACGAGGCACAACGATCTTCACTTACAACACATGTATTTCTCTTGTAACCTCTTGTTTTTCGCAGAACCCGCTTGCTGATATAAATCGATCTAACCCTGCTTATCGTTTCCATATATCAAACAACGGAACTTCTCGTCATATTTGTGACATATAACACATGACATATAACACTTTTTCATACTTGAAATGAAACGGTCAACACAAACGTTAGCACAAATGAAAACCATGCCTTTTTCGTTCCTTAATATTTGCCGCCAAATTTCACGTTCATGTAATATCAATGAGGGGTGCAATATTTCAGGAATTGTATTCTGTGTAAATTTCAGATGACTTTTATGACAAGCTGTCTTGAAACTCTGTTCTGAATGCTGCAATTCTAAATATATCCACAGTGGCCCTTTTCAGTAGCAAGTGCATGCTACGGTTTTGCTAAGTCTATCATGTGAGACAGTGGTGTGCATGTTGAAATATGTTTTGACAGACGTGAACCTAATTGTTTTTCAAACTGAAACAGGTGCTATTTTGAGAACCCACAAGGTATAAATTGTTGTTGTCTCATATACTTTCTGAAAGATGAATGAAGAACTCCTTCATCGTATTAGGGTTTGGTTATGTATATTCCTGGGAAGGGATCGCGGTTTCCGTTGCCGTCGAGAAGTCCGGTCTTGAACTTTTCAAGTTCAAGGATGCACGTCTGCATGTATGAAGCATGTTTCAACACATGCCACAAATATTTCTGCAAAGATAATGAATGTAATTCTTTGAATGCAATAATGTTTGATTATGTAAGTTCCTGGGAAGACATAAGAGGAATCGCTGTCGACGTTGCTGACATCAAAGTAGAATATTTAACCTGAGGCGGGTATGGACTTACCCTTTCAAATGCAAGGCTGCATGCTGGCAATCTCCGTGGTTTCTGCATGGATTCATTAGCTGTTGCAGCATATGGTGTCAGCACCGTCAATTTGTCAGAAGGAAGGATGGACTATGAGTAGTATACACAATAGTGGAAGGGGACCAGGTCCTTCCAAAGGGTTAATTTTCCAAATCAAGCCTTTGTTAAGTCCCTAATCCGCTATTGTGTATACTACTCTTGGATGTGCATGCAAACTTTCACGAAAATCGGTGTAAAAGTTTCTGAAATATTGACTTTTGAGTGAGCATGGGGTCTGTCTGGCGAAAGGCTAACTATCCAACGTATTCCCGTACTTGTTATAACGTAGCGAGGCGAGAGCCTCTTGAAGCTAAATCATACCGCAGCTCTCGACAGTCCCCCCCAGGTCGCCTCGCTGCCGACCGGCTGGCTACGTTATGTTGATGTCCGTGAAACAGTTTATTGTGAATCTCCTTCTATGATTTGTTCGGTTTTCCTAATGAAGTCTTGCTGGGCCCCTTACCTCCCTTGTTCTATGAACTTTTTTCTCTCGTCTTCACTGATGGAAGTGCTTTTACGAGTCTTGGTTCGAATCTCTTGCTTCATTCTGAGGTACTTGGCGATTTCTGAGAGCACCAAACGAAACTATTCCTCTGAGATTTTAGAGTCGGTGAGCGCGGTGGAAATATGATCGTCTATCATGTTTAGCTTCGCTTTGGCTAGAATTTCGTCGTGTTTCAATGCTTTACGTTGCCAACCCTGCCACTCCGGCTGTTATTTCGATGCCTAACATCACAGGTGCGAGCACGATGGTGGATAACAACCCGACACCTGTCGCGCCTAATCCCATGCTCGTTGCCATCAAAACGGTGTCCACGGAATTGACAGCCCTGTGATATATTTTCTGTAATGCCGACCGTGTATCGCGTTCACGTTCTAGTTGATGTTTGATCTCACATAACTGTTGCAAACGAAACCCGTCTATGGTTTCCAGTGTTTTTGCTGCTTCATCCACGACTGGGTACAGTCCCATCCATTATATATATATATATATATATATATATATATATTTATAACATAATATTTAATTCCGTTAATATCAGATCGAGGCTGATAAGGTTAAGATTATCATTCACGTAAATATTCGCGACACGAATCCAATTTTTTTCTATAACACGAACTCCATCGAGGCTTACTAAGGGTGTCGATCCTGGTCGTATGACGATACGACAGCATTGGTGATTGTGTTTGTCGAACCAGCGTATTGTCAACCAAGTCAAAAGTTTTCATTCTGACCCACGAGCATCTGCGAGATAGACATCTATTACGAGCGTGTGTGATTTGATAGTCAAATTTGAATCGAAAAAATCCCATTGGTAAATGGGTACGTCGAACCGTAAATATGAAGTCATGTCGTTTGAAGGTAACATGCTGCCCGTGTGACCTGGTATTCGTAAAACTTGTATATCAAAACCTGGAGTGAAAGACGTGAGAAGGATCCCGTTGTTCGTAATTTTGGAGACGTAACCATTGTTTTTAAAAGATATGTGGGGTGAGTTGAGGGTCATGTCGATCAACCAGTCAGGCTTTTTTAAGTCTGCTAGTGACACCCGCTCGTATACGTTGTCTTTTAAGCGCAGGACGTATAAGGTGTTTTCCTCGCCGGGCAGATCAAATCCCCGCGTGTCTCCGAGATCAGCTAGTGTTACGTTGGGATGATGGTTTCCTTCGTTTTTTTAATACAAAATTACGAAATGGTTTTCAATTGGTTATCGGATAATTCCTCGGACGTGCACTTCAAACCCATGAGATGTATGTTGTCCAGTAGGAAAATTTTGGTGATTGATATCATGCCTTCCACGCTCACTATGACTCCCTGCAGACTGGTGTAGGTGTAACGGTAAACGGAGTAAACTTGGTATTGAGTTTGATCCCTTTTACGATTTCGACGACGTCACACGGCGATGGCGGTTGACCGAGGTAGACTTGGATGTACAGCGTGGATTTCGCCGGCAGATTTTCCAGGACGTTTACCACGCTGTCGAATTCCGACACCATCTGCAATCCCACGTTTTGTGTCCGGGTTTGCTCGACAGCATGTGGGCTACTCTTTGCCTCAATGTGCTGACGATCACGCTGCGTCTTTGCGTAGGGACATAAGCCACGATCAGCGTTCCGTTGTTCACATCTTTCGTAAGGTAGTGATTTTTGTTGTCCATGAAAACGTGGGGGGAGCCGACTCTGGGTTCGTCAAATCCGCGCGTGTCCCTGAGGTCAGATATCGCTATGGTGGCGCATTTTAAAACGCATGTTCCTGGACCTTGAGACTCCGTCATTGTCGTATGTGCAGCATCGCGCTGAGATATCATATACTTACGGGACCATGTTTAATGTCTAAAACCGATATTTTCAATTCCGTGATGTTGCCTCGGATGAATTTTTTGTACTGCCGCGACGAAAACGATTCGGTTGTGCTGTCGTTGTACTTTTCCGCAATAAGGAACGAGGTCGGGTAATTTCGTGCCAATCACGGTGGTTTTCGGTGGTATGTCGTTCGACATCAACCCGAGCATTCTCGCCAGCAGCCGAATGAGTCTCAAGTCGGTTTTTTCGTTGTTGGTTAACACAACCGTGCTATTCGGGTCATTCATTTTGAGTTCACTCCCACGGGTTTGAATATTTCGTCGTTGAGCGAGCACACGCTGTAGTAGCCGTCCGTTATTTGGTTGCGTTTGTCGTTGACGATCAGCCTGTTATTGCTGCCGCTGATGTTGGTCCATCGCGGGTAGTAGGTGATATCGCAGAGCACGACTTCGAGCTGACCGGAAGTGTTATCGATTGCATGCAGCAGTTGAATGGACTCGCCGTTCGTGATTCCCAGAAGCGTTACGTACATATTGAAAGTATATATGTATACAAAATAATAATAATTCAATCTGTACAAACCGGGAGTGTTTTATTCTAAAAGCGATAATATAAGTGCTGTCGATTTCACGCATATGAATATCGTGGTGGATGCAAAGGATGGTTTATATTTTCGAACTCCATTTATCGATGTATTTACAAAGTATAGGATTTCAGTCACGAACGTGAAAACGGTACACGCTTGGTTTTCGAACCCGATGCAATTCTGGCAGAATCAATTCAATTTCGCCATGTCATGTGCTACGACGGCGCGTGGTGTGACGTTGATCGTCACTCGTTGTGATGCGCTGAGTCGGTCTGTGTTCCTTTTTCATGTGTACTACCTTTTCACGTATTTTGAAAGAGATCAGCACCCTGATTCCGCAGGACAAGGCGTGGAACACGGTAAACAATCCTTACGATCGGCTGGCGTACGAACGGATTTGTGATGAATTCGAACTCAATCCAAAAACTGATTGGCGTATACCGGGTACAAACCATGTGTTGGGCATTCCGTACAGTGGAGCGAAATATGTGAAAGAAGTCAGTGATGGTTTACTGAAAAGTGGTTGGCTCCGACACGACTTTGCTCTGTCGAGTAATGAATGGCGAGATGATCGTATGAATTTTAAAAGAGATGTTGCTTTTACCGTTCAAAGGGTGGAGCAGCCTCGATACGCTGAAGAAAGTATATATGTTGGAAAGTATATATGTTGGATACATCGAAAGGGTTTTCTCGTCCTGGTGTCGTCAGACTTAACGATTCGATTCAAACGTACGTGTGGTCCGTGCTAGGCGCGCAAGCGCAAACGCGATCCAGCATCATAGGTAAAAGGACGGCATTCTACGCACAGAAACAATTCATGGCCAACGTCGAGGATGCCATTGCCAGACCAGTGGATTTACCGAGTGCCATCGAACACTATCAAAACGTGTTGCAAAATGCCAGGTCGAAAGTCGACTATGTGTTTGGTGTGGGATTGTACATGGCTCCGAGTGATATGCAACTGAGGATCCACACAGTGGTGGGCTACAACAACGAAATCGTCATCACAACCAGCAATCAAAAGTTGGGTATCAACCTGAGTCACGTCGGACCACCCACCAGCACCAGTGAAACGGGGATAGTGACGTCACCGCCATCGCCGGAGCCCAGCGTTCAATCCCCACCACCACCACACCCATCTGTACGCGCCATGGTCAAAAATCAGCAACACATCGATCGTGAAACAGCGCTCGTGGTCGGCGGAATCGCGGTGGGGCATTAGCTAGGCATCAGAAATCGATTCCTACCCCACCGTGGATTCTGTACGCCGTTGCAGCCACTGTCGTGGGTATCACTGCAGGTGTATGGTTGTATCAACAAAACAAAAAGATGACACCACCACCACTACCATCGATGGTCCGACCCATAACAAAAAACACAATTACATGCAAACCCACACATTATGTTATAATCATGTCTACCGCCGACGGAAAAAACATTCGTCAACAATGCGTATCACGCCGTCGTGGTCAGCGGTCTAGCCATCGGCTACGCTCGATTTGGCAAAATGATCACCAAACAACCAGCACCCAAACTCGATTTTAACCTTCAAGACATGGGTATACTCGTGTTTGACTTGGGACTTGTTTGATGGCTACCAAAGAGATACTAGTCAAGCAAGGCATCATTCCAGAAAACATATTAAAGTAAGAAAAGTATATATAAATAAATGGCCACAATCGCGATGATTGTCGGCGGGGCATTAGTCAACGCCCTGGCATTTTCGGGGAGCAATTATCTCTTCTCCAAATTACGCACATCCAATGCTGCTGAAATCGAAGCAGACCGGAAACGGCACGATTTAGTCGTGGAGAAATTACAAGCCGCGTAAACCTACTACGAGAAAAAACGCATGCAGAGTATAGATTTCATCAGCGCCAAACTCTCGCACAAAAACCATGCCGTTCGAACGTTTAAGGACGTGGACGACGCCATGCGAGAATACTACCTGCTCACTGGCAAACGACTCGAAACTCTCGAACCCACCCTCTCTCAGTATTACACGCCTTCCCCGGAACGGAAAGACCGGGAGCTGATCTTAGCCGCGACCGTGTTGATCACTAAACAATTAGACTAAAAAATATATTTATGTGTATACATAAAGATGGGAAGACGTGCACCGTATAACTGCAAGAAGGTGGTGTTCGAAAAACCGAAACATGTGGCAGGAAATGCACCACCGAATATTGCAGCAAAGACATGATGTCCACACGAAAAGGTTTCGTGAATTACACCTGCGAAGTGTGTGGCGTGGGCGTGAAATGCCAATATCGCCGTTGCAAAGCCCACGGAGCGTACGTGGTACGAGGTCATCTCATCTACTTAACGCAAAGAGACTATCTCAACGAACGAAACCGACTGCTCAGAATAAAAATAAAATAAAAAAATATATATTTTACGTGCGCTTCATTTTTATTCAAAAACTCGTCAGAGATAAGGCTGACGGAGTTACCTCCCATGTAGCAAACAACCAATTAGAGATTTGACTTAGCACCTGACTATAGCGAAAATCCAACCTTTTAGAGATTTGACTTCGCATCTGGATATAGCAACAATGCTAACTGTTCGAGAACTGAAAATGATTGCTAAAGAACGTGGAGTGATCGGTTACTCCCGCTGGAGGAAACCTCAGCTGTTGAGATTGCTCGACATGCAACCCGTCGACGAACAACCTCCCCCTCCAACGGTGAAACAACTCAAGTTATCATACTGGAAAATGTTGTTCCGGTGACGTGCAAAATGTGGTATGACGTGGGGTCTGAGAGTTTGGTCGATGTAGAGCACTGCTGTGATGCCGCCTCCTCTCCCTGGACCAATGTTCTGGAACACCACAGAACCCACTCTCTGGTTCAGGCCTATTCCACTCCATACCATGATGCTTGCACCTCCCCATGAGTTTCTTTCCATAACACATTGGTCTGAGCAACGCTGGCCACGTCGTCGCCATATTCTTGTTCTGCCATCGGCAGTTAATACGCAGTACCGACTCTCAGCTATGAACAGAACAGTTCTCCATTGCCTGTATCGCCAGTTTTGGTGTTGTGTGAAACTGTAAACGTTCACGCCGATGACGAGGGGTGAGGATAGGTCCACGGTAAGGTCTACGGCAATGGAGGTTCCCGCTGTTAAGACGTTGGCGTACTGTATCAGTACTGATTGGTCTTCCTCGTGTTCACACTGTCTGTCGTGCTGTTCCAGATGCCTGCATGAAGGGATTCTGTACATGCTGTCGCACAACATGGCGGTCTTGTCGTCTTGTGGTCACCCTTGGTCTGCCAGTACGGGGGCGATCATTTGTGGTGTTTGTGGCCCGGAAATGTTGCTGCAGCCGGTAGATGGTCTGAACGTTGACCTGGAAGTGACTGGCAACGGCTTTTGCAGTGTGGCCAGCTTCAAGTCTTCCTAGCGCCTGGTTCCTCATCCTGCTGACGTTGTAATGTGAATGTTTCAACCAGGTTTGGGGATGCATTTTATAGGGGTGGTCCTTGTGAACAGCACGTGCAGCTTGAGTTGCATGAAAAACATGGAGAACACCGTACCATCTCCGAGAATAGTTTGCGTTTTTGAGACCATTTCCTGGGTTCAATTCTGAATTTGGGAAGGAATGTCTTTTCTCAGATAGGTTGGAGATGTAGTCACAAATATACAATCAAAACATTAAATGAGTTTACAGTTATACGTGTATGCGAAGGAAAATTCCAAACTGACGTTTCTTTTGCTGCTTAGTATATTTGCCACGTGTCAACTTCTGCCTGATACAGCTATGTTATGGTGGAGGCCCTGACGGAATGGCAAGTGTACGTCTGTGACAAACCAGCTTTTTTATATCTTCTGCATGAGATAGCCCAAGGTACTTTTCCCAAAAGGACAATTTGGCGCTGTAAATGGGAAGGTGTATTGTATTACCATTGTAGATGTCGCTGTTCAAGTCATATGTAAATGACTGATTATGGAAGACGTATAAATCTTGCACGCAACGAACGTTTGTGTCCATTGTATTGCTATTCCTATGATCGAATCTGAATACCATTTTGCCTTGAATGTCCATTTTATCACGATCTGAGATCATCTCTCATACCACGTTTTTATGACGTATATCCTTCTGAAAACAAGTTAGCCCTACTGTTTACTTCTCAAAATAATATTGTTATAAGCAACCTAGCTAATATATATGTATTAGCTATGAAAAAACGTACGAAATATTTTGCATCATGCTGATCTTGCGTTCACATCTCAATTACAATTACACCTTTGTATCCATTCCGTATCCATATCATGGCGCTTCACGTTATATTTTAAACCTTTCTGATATGTATGTGTATAATGGGCCGAAGGCCCCCTTACATAGGACCAAAAGCCTGATAGTAAACCATTGAAATAAACGAAAATACAGTAGGAAATATATGCCATGACCGGATTTACGTATGTTTCCAAAGATTTCCCAACTTCGGGCATATATTTCATATGAATCTATACCTTTGAAACATATGCTCATCGTACATTTTCGTATGCACAAGTACCTCGTCCATGTATGCCATGACCGGATTGTCATGTATTTCCAAACATGAATTGCAAAACAGATACCCCAGTAAATACATGATCATACAGTATTTCTGATGCATTCCCTTGAATTTCAATTTGTGCTGAAATTTCGATTTCGTTCTAAGTTTACTCAGGTTGGAAACATGTAAATTTACGTAGGTGGGGAAACACATGTAAATTTTCAAATTTGCAAATGTTTACACACCTTAGATATTTATGTACCATACCGGATTTCAGGGGTATGTATATGAAGGGTTCATACACCTTCATGTTACCTGTGCTCAAGCAAGATGATCATTTGTTTCCATCATGAGTGAGTGAGTGAGTGAGTGAGTTAATATTTAACATCACATCGGCAATATCTCAGCCATATCGTGACGAAAACTGTTTCCATCATGTGAATCACTTGGTTCATGCAATTTAATTTTCACACATTTTGTACGTTTGAAATTAACGTTCACGTGACCTCATTATTCTTATCATCAAAAGAGCCTGACTAAGTAAGCAGTATTACGCAAAAAGGGGCGATGAGCTGCCCCTTTGTCCTTGCAAGTGTCCCTAGCTGTCCCAACAGAATAGCACTTTATCTCTCTTGGAGCGCGGCCAAATACGCTACACGAACCAACTCGTAATTTCTTAAGTCTCTTCAGCTGGCGCATCAGTACTATAAATAGTTTTTGGCAGTACATAATTGGAATATTATTGCACTGCATGTGACCTTTCTTAATAGTCTCACAGTGCCTGAATCATGTTATTTCTCCTTCCGCTCAGCCTTTGCTGTAATAACGCCATACATGAACTTAAGTTGTCCACATTTGTTTCATTAACACAAACGTATACGATAACAAACATTGCCATATCAAATTAAATATTCTGTGAGACATGAAATGAAAAAGGTTTTTATCGTGTAGCGATTATGACCGGATAGCACAGGCGGGTGCGTTCTCTGAGTATACCATAGGCATGTTGGACCTCCATGATTTTGTGAAATTCGTCTTGATTGTCCTGTTTAAATTGACGATCCATAAACCCAGATTCCGAAAGCAAACGTCACACAAGTAAATGTGATGTTGCACTGCTGTAATTTTCCCTGTCGGAGAAGTCCTTCTCACAAGATATATATTCCGTTGTTTGGAGCAGGCCTATGACTATTATGCCCCAGTGTTGCTAAACATCTTGCAGACCTTGAGCCTGACATAGACGCAGACCTCGCATGTTCAAGTTCAGATGTGACAGGTGCCGAAAATATTGATTCCAACAAGATTGCAATATCTCAGTGGTCTATTGTTTTCCTAAGTAAGTGGAGTGCTTTCTACAACATTGGAGATAAGGGTATCGCTGTCCTTCTGATATTCCCCCGAACGGAAGCTCTACCCATTTAGGGTACAATGTGTATGTTACAGATTTGTAGGGGATATTAAGACTTTTCTACTTTGACCAGGATTCTTCGAACTTGCAACAGTCGTTTAAGAAGATCAAGAGAGAAAGGGGTAGTGTGCGATGTATCTGGCAGACGTATATGGAGAAAGTTCGAAGATAGTTGCTGTATATATACAATAATAGAAATACCGGTTACGTACCGGCCAGTGAGATTATTGTGAAAGATCGCAATATGTATCATCATAAACGGGCCCAGATAAAAGTACATGTCATTCATTCCCACATTAT